TCAATACTGGGAAAAGATGAGCAACACTTTTTGGTCTGTGACTAGAAATGCTTTGAAGGCTTGTAGGGGTATTTGAATAATGCATTAATTAAAGGTGTAAATATGTTATTAGTAATGCAAATGTGTGTTTGGTAAAGACAGCTCAGTTCGCAAATACCAAAAACCATTTTCTTGATTGGAAAAGTAACTTGGCAAACAGTTTCCAGAGAATCAATTAACATTCTAAAAAATCTCCTGTTTCTGAAAACAATGAAATAATGTTCCATTTATTTTGAATAACATTTTATAGGTTGTATGATAACTGCTCTCCATTTTTGTCAAAGAATGACTGCTCTCCATGTGCTTTTTTATTCATAAGATCTCAATTCACTTGAGTGGGGGTGCAGAACAGCTCTACTTTGATTAGTTGAGAGCTAGTATGAAATTTTATCTGTCAAAGAGGAAAAACAATGGATTCTCATGCTCTTTAGTCATTAGCAGAATCATATATCTGATAAAGGAAAAGCACCAGCAACATTGTTACGGACTAATTCTTGAATTTTTAGAACAAAAAACACCAGTACAAATGCTGTAATATTTTAAAATAATTATTTCTGCATTTAGAGGCTGTCTTCTATGGAGTCATTGATATCTTAATTTTTAGGATTGCAATTGTAAATATAAGCAACTTTGTTAATTAATTTTAAGAATCAATTATAATGGACTGAAGTATGGGTTCATGGTTGGTCTTTTTGCCTCCGTTTTGTCGACTGAGGAAATGTTCAGGTTGTTCTTTGCAAGTGGTCAGTTGATTATAGAAATCTTCCCCTTGTCATAGCCTCAGTACCTGTCTCTTTACTTGTCAATTCTTGAAACCATTTTGTAGCTTTACGTTCTGTGATTTATTGAGCAGCAGTAATTTTATTCATCAATTTGCCATTTGTAGGAATCATCCAGTACTTATGAGCTTGTAGAGGTAAGCACTGGTGGAAAATTGAGCAGGCACAATGTCCATGTTCAACAACTTGGCCCAGAAACAGTAACAGAGTTATCCACATTTCATTTGTCTGTCACTGAGCAAACACAAGATTTACATAGTAGCCTAGTCTTCGATCATCCTCGAGGTTATTCTCGACAACTTCACAAGTGTATTGTGGCCGATCCGCAAGGACAAGCGGTTTTCGATGGAAATGTAAAGGTCAACAGGTAATTTGTTGCATGTCCCTTTTTATTATAATTTTTGTACTTGGTAACATTATTTGATCGTGTGCCTTACTTTATGTGATCGAGGTTTATGATCACATTTCTATTTTCCAATTTACAAGTTACTGGTTTCTGACATAGGATTACTCGTTAAAAATTGATGCTAATGAATACCTGGAGAGGAAATTTCTGGCATTTGTATGGCTAATTGTCATATATCACTTATTTATTAGTTATTACTCCATTTATCTTGCTTGCTAAAGATAGTTTTGAGGATGTCAGTGGCATGCTGTTTGTGGTGTTTATGGCTCTACTTGAATTATGCAGATACGCACAACAAACAGATGCTGGACAACTAACGAGGAGTCTCCTCCTTGAACCTCGTGCAACCGTAAATGTAAAACCCAATCTCCAGATTATTGCTGATGATGTGAAGTGCTCCCATGGAGCTGCTATAAGTGACCTAGAAGAAAGCCAACTCTTCTACTTTCAAGCACGTGGTATTGACTTAAAAACAGCTAGAAAAGCTCTTTTCCTTTGGAGCTGAGGTGATTGGACGTTTTTCTTACCCGTCTGTTCGAAAACAAGCTGAGAGCCATGTCAAACAAATACTGGAAACCGCATATTATAGTTCCTCATAGCCCAATTTTTTTTATTTCTAATTTTTTAAAAATAATTTTGAATTAAGATAAGGTCTCACCAAAATATCCTAAAAAGAATCACCTTACTCTTTACTCGCTAACTATTTAAACATCCTAAGATTTATCTTCAACCCCAAAACCTCTTTCTGCTTCTTTCCTTCACTCATGGCTGCTTCTCTCTCCACACCTCTAGATGTTCATCACACCGTACAAAAATCAGATAAAAGACGACCCGTTTTCTTCACCAAACCACAGAGAACTCACCGTGCTGTAAAATTCAGTGTTTGTTGCAGCTCCTTAAAAGCTCCATCAAAGTCTCAAAATGTACCAGACTCTCCAAACCCGAAGACTCCGTCTTTATCTGAGCAACTCAAGCCTCTCTCCACAACCACTCTTTCTCCAACCAAGAATGACCAAATCCATCTTTTATCCAAGCCAAAGTCCACATGGGTTAACCCCACCAAGCCTAAAAGGTCTGTGCTTTCACTTCAGAGGCATAAGCGCTCCGCTTACTCGTACAATCCTCAGATTAGAGAACTAAAAGGCTTTGCACAGAAGCTCAATGACTCTGACAACTCTGAAGAAGCTTTCTTGGCTGCCCTAAATGAAATCCCACAGCAACCCACAAGAGAAAATGCTCTCTTGATACTCAACAGCTTGAAGTTTTGGCAAAAGACTTGTCTTTTTAATTGGATAAAGACTCAGAATTTGTTTCCTATGGAAATTTTATTCTACAATGTTACCATGAAGTCTTTGAGGTTTGGGAGGCAGTTTCAGTTCAGTGAGGAGCTTGCAAATGAAATGGTAAGCAATGAAATTAAGCTTGACAACATTACTTACTCTACTATTATTACTTGTGCCAGAAGATGCAATCGTTTTGATGAAGCTATAGAATGGTTTGAAAGAATGTTTAAAACTGGTTTAATGCCTGATGAAGCTACATATTCTGCTATTTTAGATGTTTATGCTAAATTACGTAAAGTAGAGGAAGTGTTAAGTTTGTATGAGAGAGGGGTAGCTACTGGGTTGAAACCTGACGCCATTACATTTTCTGTGTTGGGGAAGATGTTTGGTGAAGCAGGGGATTATGATGGTATTGGGTATGTTTTTCAAGAAATGAAATCTTTAGGTGTGCAGCCTAATTTGACATTGTTAGAGGCAATGGGCAAGGCTGGGAAGCCTGGTTTGGCTAGAAGTTTGTTTGATGAAATGATTGAATCAGGTTTAACCCCGGACAAGAAAACTTTAACTGCCCTTATCAAGATTTATGGCAAGGCTAGGTGGGCTAAGGATGCTTTAGAATTATGGAAGCGAATGAGGGAGAATAGGTGGCCAATGGATTTTATTTTGTATAACACATTGTTGAATATGTGTGCGGATATTCGATTGGTTGAGGAAGCAGAGAAGCTGTTTGAGCATATGAAACAGTCAGAGAATTGTAAGCCGGATAGTTATAGCTATACGGCAATGCTGAACGTATATGGGAGTGGCAGGAAGGTTGATAAGGCAATGGCTTTGTTTGAAGAGATGCCTGAGCAGGGGGTTGAGATCAATGTGATGGGGTTTTTAATCAAAGTTACTGTTTATCAATTCTGATGTTCTTGATTCATTCATTACATTTAATGTCATTCATTAATTACTATTATTGTGTGACGCCCTTTGATGTTGATTAATGTATGGTTTGAATTAAGATCAGACAAACGCCACATGCTAGTCTTAAAAAGTTCTTGTGAATGAATGGTTTGTGCTCGTGTATAGGCTCTGACAGATACAAATTGGTTTTCGAATTCTAGTACTCCTAATCTTAATGGGTTTTTAGCAATTAGGTTAGGCTATATACCCTAGCTAGTTTATTGTTGAAAGCATTAGGTTAATTCCGAACGTCTTACGGTAACACTTTAATTAAGTGAGTCTCGACCCTAGGATGTGAATTGAGACAACAGTAGTTAGATTATTGGCATAAAGTTAGATAATTACGGTGAAATTGGATACATAGGCTTTTAGCTCATTTGATTCTCATTCGTTCAATTCTAATTCATCTCGTTACAGCCACACCGAACATGCAACTGCTTGTTGCATACTCCTGCTACTCCGACCTACGCTTCTCACATCGCATCCTTGGTCCTTAAATGACTTCTTTTTTCCGGGTTCTATGAGCGGAAATGGAGACACTTCCTCCTTCTTCGACATATGAATATGCCTCGCCTCGCAGACTTTCTTTTAATTCGGTAGTTGTACTTTTTATTTGGGTTTCATCAATTATTGGGTTATTTTAGTTTACTTAGTTTGATTAAGACATGGTTATTAGGATTAATTGGTAACTTAAAAATCTCTATGGGACGACACTCGTTATTTGCTACACTAGACTACATATTGATTTAGCACTTGCGAGTGTAAATTTTCATTCAACAGTAAACAAAGAGGTTATTTTGGAAGGATTTTGAAAGAATGGGTCTAAGTTACTAGATGGGATTTGGTACGGGATTGAAAAATTTTATGGCTTAGATTAACACCTAACTCTTTAAATGTTGTAATTAAAGAAAGGGGGATCGACTTACATATACCCAAAGTTTGCTGTAAAGACAAAGTGGTACCCAAAAGGTTTGGAAATGACAAATACCCACTTTCAGTTATGTTTTGTTAGAAATTTTTATATGCTAAAAGATAAAAATGATGAAAAGATTGGAATATCCATCTGTCTCTATTTCTAACGCGCGCCAACAAGGGCCAGTGTCACTATTTATAACCAAATTTCGCAAAAAAATGTTAAATTCGATCAACAAATCGATCGATAATGCAAGAGGACTATGCAAACGGACTTTGAGTGAGAATGAAATTACTATACTATCTTTTAGTAGACAAAAATCCCTAACAGAATATGATAGAAAGTATTTATTTGTCATTTTTAAACCTTTTAGGTATCAATCTTTCTTTATATCAAACTTGGCCGGTGAAAGTCAGTTCAGCCTTGAAGAAAAGATATAAGTTAGTGGTCAAGAAGATAAAAGAAATTAAATCATGTGCGGGAATGGTCCACATATGCATTATCAAGTTATAATACATTATCATCAATGTTAAAAATATTTCTCATATATTCAATGTTATTTTTTTTTTTTTTTTTTTTTAATATGATGCTTTTAGATGCTAATTTTGTTTTCAAGAAAAAAATAAAAAAAATTGAAGAAAAAGCAAACTTTGATCCATTATAGCACCAGACTGGTACAACCCAAATACTATTTCCTCCAGGAAAATTACGGCAAGGAAGAAATTAAGTTGTTGGAGGGCAAAACACAACCTTGTAATCAGTTCCCGAAGGGCAAGTAAATGTAGTGGTTGCATAGTCTAAGGCATAACTGTAAGCATTTGGGCACAAATCCTTAAAAAACTTGAAGTACGCCGATGCAGAAGTCTCAGGGGTAGTACAGAAGCTACCACGACAGCACAAATTGTCAGTATTGAAAACTGTACACGGATGATTACAGCCACCGGGGTCCCTTAACTCAGTTGGACACAAACGATTGATGTCAGCCGCACACTTAATCGCTTGGTTGCACCCAGTAGATGTTGCTCTAAATTCCATAGGAACGTTGAATCCATCCACCAAACTAATATCAAAAAAATCAGTGCTCTTATGGCTACCGCCGGAGCCAAAAGTATATTCTGCTAATGTAACGGGTGTCTTACCTCGTGACACACAGTAGAGAAGACCGTCACAGTCTCCGCTCTCACATTTGCACATCCCGATTACATTAAAGTTGCAGTTGGTTCGAGCCCATATGCGGCCAATGTCGCCGAAGTTAGGATCCGTGTTGATAAACCATGATTGGCCTTGATGTAGTTCCCTGCCCCCACCAGGGTCGGCAGCTGCCCAAACCGTGTAGGAGCAGTTATTTTGTATCTCGAAAAGGGCTGCATGGACGCCGGTGAAAGCAAGACTTAAGTATAGAGTAGGAAGAATGGAAGATAACAAAGAGAGGATTCTGAAGAAGCTCATCATTTTGGAGACAGTGAGAAGAAAAAATGGCGTGTTTGATGTTGGTCTCGTCGGAAAAAAATTATGAAAATATCGATCAGAAAATTTCGGAGAAATTTCCGGGTGATTTTTTATGATTATCCTTTCAGCTTTAAGTCAATGTTGAGGCAGTCGTAGAAGACTTGGACACAAGAAGTCAAATATGAGCTGGCATTGGTAACCGACTCACCGTAGAGAATTAGAGAGATTACTACTTTAATTAAAGTAAATTTCAGTGCATTTAAAAATAAACGGTGTCCCTATCAAATTTTATTAGTAATTTTTTCAAATTTCTATTTTTATTTTTTCAGAATTCTCACCAGCGAAAGGAAACTTCCCTAGCTCCATCTTTGCAAGTTATTATAAAATCTGAGGTGTGAAATTGACGTGTTATTTATAATATATCGACTATAATAATATTATATATAAATTCTAATCTATGTGTATAAATATTAATATATGATCGAAAATTTATGGATAGATGCACGCTAAACAAAAGAGAAAAACAAATCTACAAAATCTAATGCTACTCAACACAATAAAAAATGATAAGAAGTCTATTAATGAAATTCATATTTCACATTTGATAAAACATTTATTAATTTCAACACCCAGAGAAAAGGTGATCATATGTGCTTTATTATAAAGACTAATTTAAGGTCTTATTCATCCATTGATAAGTGTAGTTTCATTATTTTCATTTCGCCCTTCAAATGCTTCAAGGGCAAAATATAACCTAATAGTTAGTCCCATTAGGACAAGTAAATATGCTTGTTGCTATCTTTGAAATACTTGGAGTAAGTTGTAGGTCCACAGTTGCCAGAATGGCAACAGTGCTTCTCAGTCTTGAAAACAGGACATGGCCCGTTACATCCTCCAGAAACCTCCAGCTCATTCGAGCATTGATCGATGATATCATCTGTGCATTTGATCACGCAGTTGCATCCATTTGAGACTGAACTAAACTCCATTGGAACATTAAACCCATCAATATTGGACATGTTAATAAAGTCCATGTCCATGTATTGCTTCAAAGTGTACTCAACCAATGTGTTTGGTGGTGCACCATATCCTTGGCATTCGAGAAGCCAATTACAATCACCCGTCTCACACTTGCCCTTTCCATTACCATCAAACTGGCAATTGGTTCGGGCCCAAATGCGGGCTGCTGTGGTGCCAGGGTTGGCAGTGATGGTCCATGTTTGACCTTAGCCAAGTTGTCTACCACCGCCAGGCACAGCAGCAACCCAGACAGTGTACGGGCAATTGTTTGTGATATCAAAAGAGGCTGCATTGGCCAAGGTGATGGAAAGATTTGTTAGATGATATATTAATTAATGTCGTTTACTTGGAAAGTGTAAGTAAAGATAGTGACCAAATTAATGATATTTAGGCTAATTTAGCTGTGGGAAATCAACCATATTTTGGAATATCAAGTACTTTCTAGCTAGTTAGAAACTAAACTATGAGATGACGGACACCACAATTTAAATACATATAATTAATAGATTGACTTTATTGGTAGTGTAAGGCTCATTCATGCATCAAAAAGTCATCCACTAGCGACGCTCCCATAATTCAAGAGTAAGGACATGTTCCCACCCAAGGCTGGCGACGCTCACATAATTCAAGAGTAAAGGACATGTTTCCACCTAAGGTTTAGCGAGACCATCGTCTCATAAATTCCAAATTGTCACCTTTAAATTAACATGTTTATGATTTTTGAGTTATGGTATAATATAGGTTAATATGTTTATGATTTTTGAGTTATGGTATAATATAGGTTAATATGTTTATGATTTTTGAGTTATGGTATAATATAGGTGGTGTTATTATCAAACTGTCCTTGAAAAATAAATTAAAATTACTTTTGAACTCCCAGATTTTGGCCATTCTCGAAACCTTTTCAGGTCACACGACTTCCTTTTTAGGCCGATTTGGCTGTTTTCCAGAGCCAGAGACCTTCCCCAACACCACACACAGCACCCTTGTCCATCCAGCACCAAAACCTCACCTTCTTCCCGTGAATTCACCTGGCATCCCTCACCATCACCCACACACAAGCCTGACTCCCCCTCAACCATCACCCAACACCCTTCACCATTTTAGCCCCCACCTCAACCACCGTCCCCACCGCGAGTTTGGAGAAGTTTGGTTTGTTTGATTGTGGGGTTGCTTTCATTGGTAGATTTTGGAGATTTGTGGGAATATTGATAATTGGTTGTGTGTAGTTTTGAAAAGTTTGGATTGATTTTGATTTGCTGGTGTAAATTTCTGGAATTTCTGCCATACCCAACCCATTACTGGAGCTTTCTCCCCCAAACGCACACCAAATGCTCGACAAACCGCGCTCACCCACTACCCCCACTGGGCACAAAAGAAAGGCTAGTGGATGACAAATGGTAAGTGAGGGAAGCTGATGTGGGGGTGGATTTTGAAAAGGAGAGAATGGGGGGTCGAATGGAGGTGGTTGGGTAAATTTGCAATGAGTGAGGCAATAAAAAAATGGCTACAAAAGTGGAGGTTTGTGAAGTCGAACGCCCCTACTGAGCGCAAAAGAAAGGCCTATGGACAGAAAACGGTGAGTGAGGGAAGCTGATGTGGGGGTGGGTTTTGAAGATGGAAGAATAGGGGGTTGAATGGACATGGTTGGGTGAATTTTCGATGAGTGAGGCGGTTGGAAAATGGTTGCAAAGATGGAGGTTTACGAAATCAAACAGTCGCCGTTTTTGGGCAAATGAAGGGTGTTTTAAGTGTGGGAGGAGGGTGGTGAAAGGTGAGGAGGAAGCAAGGAAAGGGGAGGGGGATGTTTTAGGTGGACAGGTAGCCGAAAAAAGGTTAAAACATCGGTAGCGACATTTGCTAACTTGGGGTGCCCCTGCCTAAAATGTGCCGACCACTATATAGGGATACTACAGTATCCACGCACGCGTCCGCCCCACCTTTGGTAAATGACCACTTTACCCTTTAATCGTTACATTAAATGATTTTTTGTTTCTGTTAATTTAAGGATGAAAATATGAAATGTTAATTTAAGAGTGAAAATCTAGAATTTATTAAATTAAGAGTTGGAATTGGGATTTTGCAAAACCTTAGGTGGGAATTGTCGTTTACTCTATAATCCAATTAGCACAGTATGGGGTTGATAATGCGCAAGAAAACTAAAAAAATGAAACTACATATAAGGAAGCTTCAACTCTGTTTACAATCTTCGAGTAACAATTGGACTTTTATCACAAATAGAGGTGGACCCAACCCCTTTGAGGGTAAGCCCAGGCTTACCCTCATATTTAAAAAAATAAAAAATTATAAAATATATAGACCCACCAAAAATTGCTATTAATATATATATATACCCAAGCCCACTCAATTTTTTTTTTTTTTTTAAATGAGAACTATTATACATATATATAGGTTCACAAAAAAATTGCTATTATATATATTTCAGGCTCACATTATATTAAAAAATTTAAACTCTCTCCACTCTTCTTCTCCACGGCTCCACTTGCTTTTTAGCTATTAATATATATATATATACCCAAGCCCACTCAATTTTTTTTTTTTTTTTAAATGAGAACTATTATACATATATATAGGTTCACAAAAAAATTGCTATTAATATATATATTTCAGGCTCACATTATATTAAAAATTTTAAACTCTCTCCACTCTTCTTCTCCACGGCTCCACTTGCTTTTTATGATTTTATCCTCAAAATTCTTTACTCTCTCATTCTCTCTCCATAGTGCCACAATTAGTTCTGTTTTCTATTTTATCAGTTTTAAGTATGTGTACTACTCATTTCAATTTAATTTATTTTAGGTTGAATCATGCTTATTTTTTGGAGGTTTTTTATTTTAATTTGATGGGAAAAGGCATGGATCTTGTGAGTTTGTTTTGTGTTTTGTGTCTAAAACGTTTTGGCGTTCCCAAATTAAGCCTTAACTATATTTTACGGGACTTTATTCTTCACCTTTCACCCACTACTTTCCTACAATTCAAATGTCACTGTTTAGTTGCTCAAAATTACTAAAGAAATTTGAGTTACTATCTATGTTTATACCAAGAAAAATCCCCATTTTTTTAATTAATTCATATTACAAATTTTATTAATTAATAATATGTATTCACTCATTTTATTGTGTTTCTATGTAAAAAATTTATTATGTTTCCTTGTAAATTGGATGTTTTTTTTAATACCTCCGCAGCTCCGCTATTGTTTGTCAAATAACTAGTGAAAACTTTTAAAAAACCATCAAACGAGCAAAGGAAATACTACAATATCAAGAAGCTGAAAAGAGAGAATGTAATAACACAATACTTTCCTATTTGAATAAATTTATGAGAAGCAAAAGTGTTGAAAATAACATGCAATTCACAAGGAAACACAAGAAAAATTTTATGTAGAAAAACTTCTTCAATGTGAAGAGAGCAAAAAACCCTAAACTTAAATCCTAAACCCTAAATCTTGACCTAATTTGCTTTCAATTCAAATTCTTCTCTTACCAATTGATGTTATTGATGTCTTATGAAAATTTATGATGAAATTGGAAGGGAAGAAGCAAGGGTCGAATGGAAAAATGAGTTAAGTTATATGCACTTTTAAAGTAATGTTTTATATATTAAATTCATTAAAAAAATTAAATAATAAATAATTCAGCTTGCTCTTAACCAGTGTTCTGAAAACTGGACTGGGCTGTTTGGTTAGACCGACTCGACCAGGAGTCGGCGGTATCTCCGGTCCGGTATCATCTAAAACCCAATATTTTTAGTTAACTGGATTGAGCCGCGGTTGGACTGTTGGAGTATGCCGAGTCACGGTCCAATCGCGGTCCAATAGCAACTCGAGGGAGAAAACACCACCATTCGACTTGACGACATCTCCACGACAAAACCCATCCATTTTCAGGGGTCGTCGTCCAACCTTTGTCGCTCGTCATCCACCTAAATTTCATGCGACTGTCGGACTTCGTTCTTGATTCCGACAATTTCTGACGTTGATGAAACTCCCTAACACCACCATCAGATTCGCCGAAACCTATACATCAAAAGCCCCATGTTTCCAAATTTCAATTGGCCATCGATCGTCGCTGCCGCCACCACTCACTAGTCTCTTCGCGCGATAGGGGTGTTTTAGATAGATTTCAAACCTTAAGGGAGTATTTAGGGGTGTTTTTGATGAATTTCAAACATATAGGGCCTAACTTGTAATTTTATAAAATATAGTCCAACCGACCAATCTAACGGGTCAAACCAAAAATGGGACCCTTAAACAGGTCATAGTCTGATATGGTTTTCGAAACATTGCTCTTAACATAAGATTGTCATAATCAAATTCAATAAAAAATTCAAATTGAATTATAATCTAATTTTTTTTTTTTTTAATTATTTCATGTCATTGTCATTAAATAGAGGATATATTTGTGAAAAGAGTATAACTTAATTATTCAAAATTTATTAAATTTAGGGAAAGATAATGATAATTATTAAGTAAATTATTAGTTTATAATTATAAATTATAATTTTTTATTTCTATTAAAAAATGGTGTAAGTTACATCATGAAATCTTTTATTAGTAAAGGGAAATGATGTCTAATTAATTAGGTAGAGAGATGAAAGATAGAATGGTAAGTATAGATGAAACGACAATGAGGCCTAGCCAAAAATAAAAAATCACAGTTAATAGTGATTTGTGTAATATATTATATGGACTAAATTAGGGAAAAGGTGGAGAACATAAAGGTCAAATTAGTAAAGACAGGTAGAATCCAAAAGGATAAGAAGAAATTCTAGAGAAGATTTTTCTATAGAAAAAATTGATTTTTTTTTGTTTTTTTTGTTTTTTAAAGCCTACCCTCAAAGGGGTTAGGTCGCCTCTGAATAAGAAAGTATTATGTTATTGTATTATTTCATTTTCAGGTTCTTGATATTATATTATTTTATTTGTTTTAAGTTTGGTGATTTTTTAAAAGTTTTTACTAGTTGTTTGGCAAACAATGACGGAGCCGCAAAGGACCCCCAGGCAAAAATCTTGGTACCCATTTGATCACAAACCAGATGATGTGGTGGGGTGGAGGTCCTTCCATTACACGATATTAATATTTTCCATTTCGTAAGTGTGTTTATTTTGTTTATAAGTAATTAACATGTAGACATTAATTTCTCATTTCATTATTTTCATATCATGTAAAATCTCATTTATTATGCCGGGCTTTTGACCGTAATATATTCAGGTAATATTATGTAGCAAAACGAAGAGGATAGAAATTCCTTTTTATGGATGAAGAATTTTTTTTTTCCCTTTCTCAATGTTATCAAAGAGAAGATGAATTTATAAACATATTAATCCCTCCGTTTCATTGAAACATCATATAATGACCAACGGCAATACGAGTATTCCTCTCTCTTTATTTTTGATAATTTTATTGCATGTTGAATCCATCTTATTATTCTCACAAATCTCATGTGGGAGTTTGTGATTGGTTTGGTTAGGCGTTGCCCATTATTGGATAGACAAGACCCATGTGAATTGACGAATTATAAGTTGACATGTGGCATTAGTGAGAGAAAGTTAGTGAGAAGTCTTAGTGAGTGTAGTGTTAGTGTGTTACTCTTATTATTATGATTATTTTTTGTGCATTATATTATAATAATTGGAGTATTTAAATATTTTAAATTTTAAAGTCCTTGTATTCAATGAATAAAAATAATTTACATTTTTTTTAAGGTTTATTTGATTTATCATCTAGAAACATAATCTAAATTTTGTTCTTAAATAATCTAATTAAAGTTGTCCCTTATTTTCACTCCCAAACTTAAAACTCTATAAAATGGGTACCCAAAAGTTTCAAAAAATGCACATTTACATCCCTTACAATAAGAAAGTGTCAGTGTCATAAGGGCCACGTTACTTAATGCCCTAAAAATAAAATAAAAAAAGTAACAAAAGAAAGATTGCTCATGGAATCTGATAGAATTGGCTTTTGGAAGAAAAAGAGAAGGCCCCATGAAAAAATATCTTGTAATAGGAGGACTATAGGAGAGACGAAAAGAAAAGAGATACAAAATATACAAAACAAACAAAAAAGTGCTTTCCAGTACTGAAAAAAAAAAAAAAAATCTGTTCACATTGGCATTGATGATTGAACTCCGATGACATAGTCATTATCAGTTTCTAATGGCAATTTGGTTGTACAAACTGAATACAAGTTGTGGACATCCAAAAGAAAAGGCCAAATTCATGTAATTAACATACAAAATTATCATAAACATATATTTAATAATCAAAAAGTTATACACACTCAATACATAACTAAATTATCTACTCCTCTCACAAATATGAACCTTTAATGGATTCTTCATAACTATTGTGAACTCCTGCTTCTCTGATAAATCAATCTCATCTCCCTCAACACCCTTCCACTCAAATTTCCAAACCAAATTCGCCACAAAATACTCCAAATGAAGCATTGCCAAACCAAGCCCTGGACAAATTCTTCTTCCAACCCCAAATGGCATCATCTTAATCTCCCTGCTTCCTGTTATATCAAAATCACCACCCATAAATCTCTCTGGCTTGAATGCCATTGGATCTTCCCACACTTTTGGGTCCCAACCCATTTCAGCTACCATTAAATTGATGCTCACATCCTTTGGTATCACATATCCATTCACCTCTACATCTTCTGTGACAGCGTGTGGTAACACAAAATGCGCAGGAGGATGTCTTCTTAAACCCTCTAATATCACTGCCTTCAAGTATGGCATCTTCTGCAAGTCATCTTCTTTCACTTCATCCTCTCCTTCTTCCACAACCCCTTTAATCTCCATGAATATCTTCTCTTGAATATGTGGGTATTTCACTAAATTCGCCATGATCCACTGCAGCGCTGTGGATGTAGTGTCTGTGCCAGCGTTTAGAAATTCCGAGGACAAAGAAACAATTTCTGATTCATTAAGCTTCCTCTTCTCTTCTGGAAGCTCCAAATCTAACAAACTATCAACATACGCTATAACATATTCATCCTCTTTTCCTTCGTTTAAACTCTCTTCCTTCACCTTCTTTCTCGATCTTATCAATGGAATCAATACTTCTTCTTGATATTTCCGTAACTGAAGCAGCTCTTCCCACCTTTTGCGAAGTACAATTTTTGTCAATCTTGGCCACAAATTTAGTATATTGAATCGGTTAAATCCTAACAACAGCCGACGCTGGAGGTCCTCAACATGTTTGATTTGGCTTTCATTAACCTGGTCTCCGAAACACATAAACACTAATAAGCAAAACATGCCGTATTGAAAATGATCCATCACACGAACTGGATCACCATTTTTGGACTCTGACTTGAGACGATCCAAAAGAATATGCAGAACCCACTTGCGCGCACGCGTGTAGCTCCTCACACGTGCAGGGTGGAGAATTTCTCTATTGAGATTGCGGCGCAGGAGGCGCCACGTAGGGCCATAAGAAGAGGAAGTGATATTGTGTTGGTTGCTGCTAAATAATTTGGTTGTGGGAGGAGCCGGTGGACGATTAGAAAAGACAGCACCATTTTGGACTAAAGCCTTGTAGGCAAGGGAGCGGTCGGCAACAAAGATGGCACGACGAGAGCCAAAGTGGAGAGTAACAATGGGGCCAAATTTGGCATGGAGATTCCGGAGGATGGGTTCAATTTGAGAAGTTGATCTTCGAAGCCACAATAAGTTGCCAAAAATGGGGAAGGTTGAAGGGCCAGGAGGAAGATGTTTGTTGGGAAAGAGAAGGTTAATGAAAGCTTTGAGGAGGAAAGCTATGGAGATGGAGAAAAGGATAATGAACCAGGACTGCATTTTGCAGATACAAATTCTTAATGAATGAAAACGAAGTGTTTAGAATTTGTGTTTGGTAAAGCTGAGATTGTAGTCATATTTATAGGCCTAAATGTCTTAGAAGCTTATTGCGAGGGACATGCACAGCCTGTTACAAAATAAAAAGTAATTTATTTGAGAAATGTGTTTGGTGGTAAGACGTAAAGGCATACGTCATATGAAAGGAACCAAGAGTAAAGATAAAAAAAACCTCCTTTAGCGACCTGGCCGGGGTGTGAACAGAGGATGTGGTGGCTAATTGTGGTGGGTTTGTGTTGGGGGGAATTGTGTTAGAAATATTTATAATTCTTATAAAGTGGTCCATGTGAATTAAATATAATATAATGTTTAGTAATAATTAATTTAATTGAAGGATATATTGGTCTTTAACCTTTGATAGAAAGGTGTGATGTTTTCAGTTAATTAAATAACTACAATATAAAAAGTGGGTCCTCTCTCTATTCTCATATACTCCAAAAAAATTTCTCTGTCCATCAAGAGAGTTTGTAATTATAGAAGAGAAAAAAGGGAGAGAAACGCTACCTATTTTTTATTCAATCAAGGTTTAAGTTTTTATTTTCAAACTATGGAATCAAGCATGTATTTCTTTTATATATATGTGAAAGTTCATTAAGTTTCAAGATCCTGTAACTTTATATTTGTGCAACTTAGGGCATAGAAACATGAATTGATTATTGATTCTTTGTTTATGATGAGTTTGCTTTTAAGTTTACATGTGGTATCAGAGCAATTTCAAGTTTAGAGACTGATGAATTTTCCATTAAGTTATTTTTAGGGTTCTTGGTTTTTGGAAATTGTGAAATAGGAATGGTTTGGGTAAAATAGATTTAAGAAAGTAGTTTGGGTTTAGAAATTAACAAATTGGAAGGCTGGAAAATTATTCTGAAATGCAAATTTTTAGAATCCAAAAGCTTTTTCCAATAAAAAAAAAAAATCAGAAATTCGGAATATGAAGTTTACCTAATTTTTCTAGAAAATCGGGTTAATAATTGACCCATAAAATATTGACCCAACCCAATGATTAAAGCCTTATTAAGTGAGCCCATTCTTTTTTCAAATCCATTAAGAATAACCCATAAAGAAGCCCAAACCTATAACCCATTAAGAAGCCAAACCTATAACCCATTAAGATTTGGTCAAACTGGTCAACCCAAATAGGTTAAAATGGGCTGACCCGAACCGGAAAAGTGGGTCAAATCAGCCCGGTTCAGGATCCAAAAATGTGATCTGGACTGATCAACGGGTTAAATCGGTTCAGACCATTGACTAAACCGGTCAATGGTTAAAGTTAACGGTCAACTGTTAAAGTTAACGGTAACTGTTAAACTTAACGGTTAACGGTCAACTGTCAAAGTTAACAGTGACAATCAAAATTAACAATGAGTATTGAATCAATCCAATTTTGTCCTTAATGTGCGTTTAGGCACGTGAAATGTGTATAAGTTTCTAAAGTATAATTTTCTTTAGAGAAAGAGTTTGAAAACTATATTATGTATAATTTGTTAGTCACCAAAGTGGCCAAATTAAAATGTTTATCCCATAGATATCAAACTAAACAAGATTCAATTACTCATGATCATTAGATGCTTTAATGAGATGACATAATGTATTGGACATAAGCCGTTTGAAGTTTATATGTTATAGGATAGTTAATGATCACCCAAAGATAGATTAGTTAATCCTATAATTATGAACATAATCATGGTTAATTAATGTACTTAATTAGATGTGTTTAATATATCCAAAGTTAACAAACATGTCTAACTAAAATACATTTAATTACCAATTAAGAAAACTTATAAAAGATTGCATCAATTAAGTTTAATTATCGTATATTGTTATTTCTCCTAAAGGAGATTTTCAATATATATTTATGTTTTAATGAGAATAAATTTTAATATCTGAATCTGAAAATAGGTATAAGGTATAAAACTCAAAGCATTAATGTGTAAGCATAATTTTTGTTTTTGCAGCATTTGTTTTTCACGCCTCATCTGTTATTAAGTTTAATGGGTTCAATTATAATGAATGGAGTGAACAAGTCGAGTATTACTTGGGTGTTCAAAATCTCGACCTTGCACTCATGACAGAGAAACCAGATAATCTAACTGAGAACAACACTGATGAAGAAAGGTCTTTCCATAAGGAATGAGAGAGATCGAATAGATTGAGCCTGAAATATTTACGGATGACAGTGGTAAGTGAAATCAAGACCTCACTTCCTACCACAGAATATGCTAGGGAATTTAAGAGACTTCTCAGTCTGAGGCCGCTGACAAGTCCCGTACGGGGGCATTAATGAGTAGACTGACCACCATGAAATATGATGGTTCTCGTAGCATGTATGAACATGTGACTGAGATGTCAAATATAGCAGCAAGAATTAGAAACATGGGAATGTTTGTGGACGCAAGTTTCCTTGTTCAGTTTGTCATTAACTCTTTACCTCCTCAGTTTAGTCCATTTCAAATTAATTATAACACAATTAAAGATAAATGGAATATGACTGAGCTTCAAACTAAGTTAGTTCAAGAGGAGGAAAGATTGAAGAAACAAGGAGTTCATTTTGTTAATCTTGTGGGCTAGTCTAGAGTTAAGAACAAATCCAACAAGAAGTATGGAAAGGGCAAAAGGCCACTGAAGATTAACGAGTCATCTACCCAAGTCCATAAGAAGGATAAGACTAAAGAAAAGTGTCATTTTTGTAAGAAAGTTGGACACTATATGAGGGACTGTCTGAAACGTAAGGCATGGTTCGAAAAGAAAGGTAAGCCTAGTGCTTTTGTATGTTTCGAATCATATTTATCGAAAGTTCCTTATAATACTTGGTGGATTGATTCTGGATGTACCACTCATATCTCTAATACTTTGCAGGGATTCCTTATGACCCAGATCATAAACGACAATGAAAGATTTGTGTACATGGGGAATCGAGTCAAAGCACAAGTTAAAGCCATTGGAACCGATCGTTTAATTTTAAATACTGGACATCATTTAGATTTGTTTAATACTCTTTAGGTACCGAAGTTATCCCGTAATTTGATATCTTTATCTAAACTTGATTTAGAAGGATATTCTTTTAAGTTCGGGAATGGATGTTTTAGTTTATTTAAATATAATTGTTTAATTGGTTCTGGTGTGCTTTGTGATGGATTGTAAAATTACATCTTGATAATTTGTTTGCTGAGACATTGTTGACCCTGCATCATAGTATAGGAACAAAACATGCTTCTATGAATGAAAAATCTACTTATTTATGGCATAAGCGTTTAGGCCATATATCAAGAGAAATAATGCAAAGATTAGCAAATGATGAAGTTTTACCTGATTTGGACTTTATTGATCTTGGCGTCTGTGTGGATTGTATCAAAGGAAAACAAACCACATCCACAATTAAGAAAGCAACCACAAGAAGCACAAAACTCCTTGAATTAATACACATCGATATATGTGGTCCTTTTGATGTACCTTCTTTTAATGGAGAAAGATATTTCATCACTTTTATAGATGATTTTTCACATTATGGATCTATCTATTTATTGCATGAAAAATCTCAATCTGTTAATATCCTAGAGGTATTCATTAATGTAGTTGAGAGCAATTAGATAGAAAAGAGAAAGTAGTTCGATCAGATAGAGGTGGTGAATATTATGGTAAATACAATGAATTTGGACAATGTCTAGGTCCATTTGCTAAATTCCTGGAAAGTCGAGGCATATGTGCCCAATACACAATGTCGGGAACACCGCAACAGAATGGTGTTGTAGAAAGGCGTAACCGAATGTTAATGGATATGGTTAGGAGTATGTTAAGTCATTCCTCATTACCCTCATCATTGTGGATACACTACAAGAAATATATTATATTGTGACAAAATTAATTTTATCAAAAGTTATTTCGTCACAAGTAACATATGTATTATGACAAAATAAAAAAACATCACATTAAGTATGACAAAAGAAATATATAGTGACTAAAACAAATATTGTCATAATATTTTATCACAATAAAAAAATCCATAAGAAATATATTGAAGAAAAACAATTTTATCATAATATTTCGTCACAAATTTTTGGCGCCAAATTTTGGCACCTAGGTAAATTGTTTATTATGACAAACATATTTTGTCATAAAATATTTTAGTCACTATATTTAGTTATACATGCTATAACTACAAATTTTTTTGTCACTAAAGAATTTATTTATTGCTACAAAAATAAATTGTCATAATATATGCTAAAATGGAGGTATTAATAACAAAATGTTTGAGCTCAAACTTTAGCGCTGAGATAAATTGTTTATCGGGGCAAACCATATTTGCCATAAAAATCTTTAGTCATTATATTTAGTATACATGCTATAATTACAAACTAATTTGTTACAAAGAATTATATATATATATTATATATATAATATATATATATATATATTATATATATATAAATATATAATATATATATTTTAAAATCAAGGTATTAATGACAAATACTTTAGTCAAGTTATATGTGATTTTTGTGACAAAAATTTGCTAAAAAAACATATTAATATGTGTACAACTATTTATCATTCCTCTCAAGTTTTTAACAATAACATATATGTCTTTAAAAAAAATCATTAATAATTTTAGTATATATGTCCTAAAAAAACTCATTAACACATAGGATGGGGTATGAAGACGTTGTAGACTGTAACTGAACGAAAACTGAAAAAAAAAAAACTGTTGAAAATTGTGTGATTATATCTCTTGAAGAAGACGAAGACCAACTCTTTTATAGTTGGTGAAAAAACAATAAAGAACGCAGCGTTTGATTTTTCTTTAGACTATTACAATAAACCCCCTTTCTTTACTCTATACAAATTCACCTCATTCCAAAAACATATAGGACAATTCTTCTACACTTATCTAATATTCCCTCTCGAACAGAACTGCTCTTCAAACATTCAGGACAATGTTTCTCCACTTCATCTAATATTCCCTCTAAAACAAACCTTCAATTCCATTCTGTCTTTTTTTTTTTTTTTTTGGT